AAAAAAAACTAGAATATTTGTTTATTTATTTATTGTCTTTTTGAGCCAGGGTCTCTGTAATGGATTGTTAACTGGTGAACTTGTTACACCCAGCTGAATTGAAATAGCGTGGTGCTGGGTATGGAGGCCCACCTGAAGATTGTAGCCAGCAGTATAGGAGGCAGAACTGGAGAAGCTGTTGAGAGGCTTTTAAGGAAGCTGTTTAGAGAAGCTGCTGGGTCTCGTGGGCTGTTCTGCTGGAGAACCTTGTCATGCTGGCTTTCCTGAGGAACTTGACTGTTGTTGGAGGAGGAGCTCGGGACCTCCTTATCAGTGAGAATGGCTGTGGTTCATTTTGGGGGAGCTCTGGTTCTTACCTTGAGCGTCGCTTCCTGGCTGCAGTTCAGATTTCTCAGCCTCCTAGCACAGATCCTTCGTCCCACTGGCACAGACTTTCTAGCTTCCACCACTGACCTTCAGGTCTTCCCAGAGCAGATCCATGAAGTGGGCCTGCATGAGACTCTTGTGGGCTCTCCTCCAGCTGCACTTATGAGAGACATTGTTATGGGCTTTAGGTTTTCAGCTGGACTCATGCAGGATATTAGGATCTAAGCCCTCAGCTGGGTCCTTTGGTCTTTAATATGTGGACAGATTTCCTGCACTCTTTGTATGGGATTCTTTGGGTGATTATAAAATAATCTTATGATTCTGTTTTGTTCCCCTACAAAAACCCCAAGGCATGATAGTCTCACTATGCAGTTCAGCCTGGCCTTGAGCTCGCACTGTAGCCCAGCTGGTCTTAAACTTGCAACGATCCTCCTGCCTCAGCCTCCCAAGGGTTGAGGGCCATACACCACCACACCTGGCTAGATTCATACTCCTTTTTTTTTTTTTTTTGGAACCGGGGATTGAACCCAGGCCTTTGCGCTTGCAAGGCAAGCACTTATTCTACTGAGCCATCTCCCCACCCCTATATTCACATTCTTAAAACTAAATATTTTTATGTGTTCCCTTAAATTTTAGAGATATTTTTATTTCAAGTACATCACTAAAGCTCAATGTGTTTATGAACAATAAAGTGTGGCATGTCACTATTACTGTTACTGTTTTGGTGATACTAGCCATTGAGCTGAGGGCCTTCGCACTGATCAAAATCTTTAGCCCTCTTTTATTTTATTTTATTTTTATTTTCAAAGTTTTATTGATAAACATATAGCAATGAGACAGTTTCAAATCAATCGAAAGTACAGTTTCAACAAATAATACACTGCATATATTCTTCTTAGTGGTTAATTGCTGTACAAGATGCAGACTTGTGATCCTATTTACAAACACCATTAGAACAAATCATTCTATTCATTAAGAGAATGCAACTATATATCTATCCCAACCACTTTGAATACACAGATACAAAATGGACATTCATAGTTATACACCAATTTTTTTTTAAGTTCCGTTGTTGAATATTATAGGTGTGTAAACTCAGCAAAATATTCTAAAAGAGTCCAGTAGCCCATAATAGCATTGGGTCTTCTGTTTAACTGGCAATGTCAGAAATTATTGACCTGAGTCCCCCACAGCTCAACGTAACAACATTAGCCCTCTTTTAAATTTGAGATGAGGTCTCACTAAGTTGCCCAGGGTGGGCTCTAACTGGTGACCCTCCTGCCTCAGCCTCCCAGAGTGCTGGAATGGCAGGCGTGTGCCACTGTGACTAACTTTCCCTGTTATTTAATAAGCAAAAAGGAAAACTGAAACCTGGAAGTCTCAGTCATTATAACACGATTTTATCCACAGTGAACAAACCTTTTATATAACATTCTCTTTTTGTGTTTATATTTCAGGTTATTCGTGTAATCAAAATTTTGTGTCTCCCATTGCCCATTAAAACTTTTCTGATACAAAGGAAAAAACAGCACGATTAGAAAACACACAGCTGGAAAAAAAAAAAAACAAAAACAAAAACCCAGCTGGGTATAATGGCAAATACCTGTAATCCTGGTACTCTGAGAGGCTGAGGCAGAAGAATTATAGATTGGAGCCCTGTCTGAACAACTTAGAAACAAAGTAAAACCCTATTTATTAAAAAAATGGGCTGGAGCTGGAGTTTGGTACACAGGCCTTGGGATTAATCTCCAGTACTGGAGAAAGAAAAGAAAAAAAAGAGAGAGAATCCAAAGTATTAAGTATCCACTAAATTCACATAGGTAGCTACCGTAGGAGCTCCCTTTTTAAGATTATTCTCGAGGTGTCTGAATGGGGACATATAAAATATTTTCTTGTATGCACCATGAGCCTGTCTTCTGTACTAGGTATTTTTTATGAGATGAAACATATATCTGGTTAAAGGCTGTATTTTCCAATTTTAATTGATCTCTTCTTTTTCTTATTGAGTTCATTTTTTAGGAATTTTTTGTAAAATGTAGAATGGATATGAACACATACAGTGTTCCAGGTAGTGTGTACTTTGAGATTAATGAATATTTTTATCTAATTAACCTTTTGTGGGCTCAGGATATAGCTCAGCGGCATAAGCACCTGTCTGGCAAGCGCAGGGTCATGAGTTTAATCCCCAGAACAAAAAAAACTTTTTGCCAAAATATCAAACTTGATATTTTATTTGTAAATTAATAAATAGACTTTCATGTTCTATGTTTTAGGGAGACTGGAGTATCGTACTTACAAGCTTTGGAGTCAAGCTAAACTAGTCTAGAATTCCAGCTCTAATACTTAACCACTTTAACCTGCAGTTTATACATTTTTAAAATGATAGTGCACTAATTTTTTTGTTTTTTAATATGGTGAAGATATATATCATATATGTGATGGGAAAGGAAATAGGCTCTACAGAATGAATTTGAGCCACATAAAAGAAAAATAAGTACATTTTACAGCCACACAGCCCTTTTTTCCCCTTTTTTATTTATTTATTTGGTATAGGGTCTCAGTACACAGCTTGGATTCCATAGTGATCCTCCTGTCTCAGCCTCCCAGCACTGGGATTACAGGAGTGCGGTTTTTGGGTTTTTAAAATAGGATCTCACTACATAGGTCAGGCTGCCCTTGAACTCAGGGATTGTCCCCCCTGCCTCAGCCTCTGGAGTGCTGCACTTACAGGCATGTGGCACCACGTGCTGCAGCATGCACTATAGTATGTGCTGCTTTCAGAAAAAGAAAAGCTGATAAAGATTATGAAGTTCTTATTCCAGAGCTTGGAATATAGTTATCTCTCAAAAATATCTGTGAAGCTGGTCATGGCCACACTTGCCTGTAATCCCAGCACTCAGGAGGGGAGGCTGAGGCAGAAGGATCATTGTGAGCTAGAGGCCAGCCTGGCCTACAAAGTGAGCTCAAGGCCAGCCTGAACTGCATAGTGAGACCCTGTCTCAAAGCAAAAAAAAAAAAAAAAAAAAAAAAAAAACTGTGTTACTTTAAACTTTTTTACATATACCAATTACTTATATTACTTATTATATTACTTATATTATTTTTTACATGATAGTTTTCATCCATACTATTTGTTGAGCACCTGAATTTTTCCTTTTCTCTTGAGATCTGTAATGTCTCTTTCTTTCTTTTTTTTTTTGTGTGTGTGTGTGTGATTCTGGGGATTGAACTCAGGACCTTGTACTTGCCAGGCAGGCGCTTATGCTGCTTAGTTACATTCCTGGCTCATGACTTTCATTATCTTTTTTGAGTTGCTGGGGATTGAACCCATGACCTTATGCTTGCGTGGAAAGCGCTATCGGCTGAGTTACACTCCCAGGCCTCTTCAATATCTTTTAATAAACACAGAGACTTCTTTGTCACATTCTGTACAGTGATTACTCAGAATACAGATTGTTTGACACCTCAAAGCTAAGCTATCTACAGAAGATAGAAATAAATGTTAGCAAAAGTTATTCTAGTTTGAAATGGTTGACTTAGGCTCTTATTGTGGAATAAGGTTTTTTTGTTGTTGTTGTTCCTCAAATGCCTTCAGGGCACTTTTGGCCAGCTGGAGAGGTGTGAGGTTTGAACTCCAGCAACCTGAGGCTGACAGCTTTGTGGAAGCAGCCACTTAAAGGCCTGAGCTAGGGCCAGGCCCCTAGTCTCTTATTGTGGAGTAATGTTTTAGAATTCATGTACAGTCTGGGCATGGTGGCGCATGCCTGTAATCCCAGTACATGAGAGGCTGAAAACAGTAGAATCACTACAGGTCTCATCTACATATTGAGACTCTGTAGACCCTGTCCCAAATACATAAAAAATAAATACAATAAAATTGACCTTAAGCCAAATAACTTTTTTTTTTTTTTTTTTCGGAACTGGGGATTGAATTCAGACTCTTGAACTTGCCAGGGAAGCGCTTATTCCACTGAGCCATCTCCCCAGCCCCGCCAAATCACTTTTAAAAAAATTATTTTACAAGACACATTGTGGGGCCAGGGAGATAGCTCAGTAGAATAAGCACTTTCCTGGCAAGCGCAAGGTCCTGAGTTAATCCCTGGTACCGCAAAAAAAAAAAGATTCTGTGCTAAATTTATTCAGTGTTGGTTAATATGCAGAGTGTCCATATTATATGTGATATTCAATGAGGATTGTTGCAAATATTATACGCTAATAAATGAGGCTGTGATTAACTCTGAGATGGTAACAATGATTAATTTGCATTTTTTCTCTCTAATAATCTTTATGTGACTGTAAGAGACTGTTTCATTCCTTCTCTTTTGGGATAGCTCTGTGGTTTCCGTCTGAGTGCCCAAAGAGTCCTCCCCACAGGAGCACAGTAATGAGTGCCTCCTTACATATTTAGTTTTCCATTCATGTAAAATGCTCAAATATAAGCTTTGCTTTTTAGGAAAAGCTGGTTAAGCGGTGGTCTTAGTGTTTGACCATTTGTTTATGTTGACTTGTTCTAGCAGACTAACACTTATGCATTTATTTATTTATTTATTTTTTATTATTTAAGACCTTTATTAACAGGTGCTTGCAGTTTGTTGACTTTTTTGAAAAAATCAAGTTGTAAACTTTTATT